GCGCAAATAATGTGCAATAAATAACGTTTTGTATAAAGTAATGTGCAATATTACAAAATGTACAATATTGTAATAGTACAAAATAAATGAAATTTTATAATAAATAATATATGTAAAAATTTTATTATTTTATATACAATATTTATTTATTATCATTTTTTAATTTGTTACAATTTTTGAGCATTTTTTATGAATTCAAAATTTAGAAAATAATGCGTTTAAAAAACTGGAGGGAATGGCTAAAATGGCGGACCAATCACAAGTGATACCCGTATGGCGTCACTTTTATTGTAGGCTCTCTACTTAATAGTATCTCGATGCAAGTTGGTGCAAGTATTTATTTTGATCTTTCGAGTTGTCACTCTTCAAAATTATCGCGGTGCCAATATTTAAATGGCGCATATGATGCCGCGCCATGTTTGCACGGAACTGTACATACAAAATTCGTCTCGAGAACGAGCACACCTGGGTTTGGTTTCTTCCATCATGTCATCCCTATGATTTTCAGTTGGCGGCATTGCATGCACACAGGAAGTAGAATGCTAGTGAAGTGACGACTTTTCCTTTAAAATTCTGGCGTTGAAAGGTATGTATGAGCCGGCTCATCGTATTTGTTAAATCTGTACGCATCTAGCTCATCGTCGAGGTATTCATTTTATTCAAGATAATTTCTCGCGTAGCAGACTTGGTGCCACAACGTAGTCATAGAAAATGTTATGTCCATTCGCGAGAACCGGCATGAAATCGCGAGAAATACGCGGCATGACGTGCACAGGTCGGACTGCTGCTGACCGTCACGTTTATGGTCGCGCAGAATCGGAGAGAAACGTGATCGATCTGTCTGTGTTTTCAGGACGCAATGGGTCGGTACTCCCACGAACCGGTCAATCAGACCAAATCATGCAAAGCGCGTGGTTCTAATCTTCGTGTGCATTTCAAGGTAAATATCTCGTTTGAGAAAGTATAACCTCAAACGCCATGTTCTCTCCCAGGGATGTTTACGAACGTGAATACTATCGATCATCTTTTGTATGCTACAGAATACCCATGAGACAGCGCGTGCTATCAAAAGCATGGCCCTGCGGAGGGCACAGAAGTACCTGAAAAATGTCATCGAGCACAAGGAATGCGTTCCTTTCCGTAGATTTAATGGTGGCGTTGGCAGGGGCGCTCAAGCCAAACAATTTGGTACTACACAAGGTATGTCAGCGTTAGTGAAGTTATGTGTTCTACAGTAAGAGCACATAAAAAATTTTAAACAGTAAGGTGTAAGCAGTAAGGAAATCAATATATTGGTTACTACAATATATTTGTTACTTATGTTATTATGATCTCTATTATGAGTGGTTAATATATTTATTGTTTGTTTTATTGCTTAAATTTTTGTATATATCATAGTCCTAACATTCTGGAACACTTACCATTGTAAAAACAGTTGAGCTGACAAAAAACATAATAGGACATATAATTGTGCTCTTTGTTTCTTTAATAGTGAATGTGATTGGTGGATGCACTTAGTATACACTGATGCATATTAAAGTCATACACAAATTTAGTATATTTACATGACTTTTTATCTTTGATTTAATATTATTGATGTTATAACTCTTACTTAAAGTCAGCCGCATTTATATGTTTAGGTTTATTTTATTTCCACTGGGCTAAAAGAATAAAAGAATGTTAATAAGTCAATAAGCAAAATGAACTTTTAGGTTACATTTACATGGCCCAATTTATGCCAAAGTTATAATCGCAGTTATTTATATGTCCTTTTTACATTGATGTAGTAAGCCTAAGCTCTGTTCATCAAATGACTTTGAGTTATTACATCAATGTAATAACTTCATTGTAAAATAGCGTTTATATGTAATCAGTAGTTATAACACTCAATATTATAACTACGGCATAAATTGTAAATGTAATCATTGATATAAAGATATATATTTAATATAGAATGGGTTAAACCATGAAATTATCAATATATTTTAATGTGCTATTAAGTAAAATATGTTCTATGATTCGAAATATTTATATTTCACTTTTACATTCAAATTAAATCAGTGTACGACAACTTTAATATGTACTAGTGTATCCAATCCAATTTGCTATAATATTAAGTTTGTAGCGCACAATGCTCGTTTTTCTGCTACATTGCTTGGATGCTGCTACAATGCTTTTTTCTGTTACATTGTTTTAATGAGTTACTAGAATTGCATCACGGAATGCAGAATTTCTAGTAAAATTTACTAGGCAATATAAAATTGAGAAAACAATCGATTATTTTTCTTGATTTGCTATTGTTGCCTATTGTAGATTCCCCTCTGCCTTGTAAGCATTCCAATAAATAATTTCTACGTATACTATTTCTGAAGCCTTATGATACTCAAAATTACTCTAAGATCTTGAATGAAAAAAAATTGATCAATCGCATTGATTAATTAGCTAAATTGTTCATGTGTGATTTGTTAATTCTTTCTCTATCTGTGCTCTTGAAGCGATTTTTAGCATTGTGAAAGAGAGAACGAGATTTAGTTTATGCAAGCGTTAATAATCAAATCAAATTATTGGGAAGTTAAATATGTGGTCTAATTAGATTTATAACAGCAAATGTCTAACTATTTATTTCTTAGGTCGTTGGCCTAAAAAATCTGCGGAATTTCTGCTGCAACTTTTGAAAAATGCAGAGAGTAATGCCGATTATAAAGGACTCGATGTGGACCGCCTTGTAATCGAGCATATTCAGGTTAATCATGCGCCTTGTCTTCGTAGAAGAACGTACAGAGCTCATGGTCGTATAAATCGTAAGTATTTTTATAATTGTGTAACAAATATTAAACCTATTTTTATTTTTACCTGAACTTGCAAGAGCATCGTTTATCTTTTCTCTTTTTTTTCTAACATGGAAAGAAAAAAAAGGAAAGATGAACTATGCAACAAGTTTAGTTGAAACAAACAGATCTGATTCTTTAAATATATATATATATGGACAGCAATTATTGCTAAGACTTATGATTCTTATAGCTTACATGAGCTCGCCTTGTCACATTGAAGTAATATTGACGGAAAAAGAGGATGTTGTTGCGAAAGCCACAGAGGAGGAGCCATCGAAAAAGAAACTTAGTAAGAAAAAGCTTGCTAGACAAAAGGAAAAAATGATGAGAGAATAATTTTATTACTTTATATGGACGTGTATTATGAATATACCGTGAAAAATGGAGATTACTTGGTTTTTACTTTCACTTTCATGTCTTTACTTACGTCCTACCCTGAACACAATTGACATATACTGAAATTTTATCATAAATATCATTTATCGGTTTTTTTCCCCTCATAACCTCCAATTTTTCAATTTTGTAAACCATATATGGGATGAGAATCGAAATTAAACCCAAAACTTACAAATCAATTAAAATTTGCTCTTTACAACTAAACTATGGTGTAATATATTCATACTTAACTAACTATTTTTACTAAAAAATTAAATATAATAGTTACTGTGATGGTCATAAAAACAGAGCCATCTACATAAAAATCAATAATATAGTTATTTTATCGATCTGTTTTTATTTGTTGGCAATATTATTCATTACACAATAGCAACAGTTTATAACTAAAAAAACAATGAATTATTGCCGAAATAAGGTGCATGTATTATAAGAATTTCGTACTCCATATTATAAGTAGTCTGGTCATAATAATAACCCAAATTATTAATGTAAGTTTATTCACACATAAAAAAAAAGATTCATTAAATATTATAACGTAATTTCATAGATTAAGTAGAAAAATTATAATTAAATTTAGTCATCAAATACGATAAAAAACATTTCGAATAATACAATATATATTCTTTATTAAATCAATTATTTTAGATACGATTGCGCGCCGATAATAACTTTCTTTCAACCCTGCCGAAGTAATATTTTTTGCAATAAATTCTTTACAATTTTTCTAATTTAATTTAGGGGGGATTATTAGTGTTTTAGACTGTGTTGAAAGTCCGAAAGTTATTATCGGCGCGCAATCATATCTAAAATAATTGATTTAATAAAGAATATATATTGTATTATTTGAAATACCTAACTTTGACCGTTGATTTATTCTCTATCGTATTTGATGTATTTATATATACGGTCATTTCTTAAATCTTAATAAAATTTAGTTATTTAAAATTGCAACGAAAATACTCACTGTAGAGCTGAAGAGATAATTAAAATTTATGTAATGAAGGAAAATCGCAAGAAATTGAAAAAATTATAGATCGCTTCAGAAAAATGGAAAATGTATTAAAAGAAATAATGAAGAAACTCGAGATTCTAAGCGAAAAACTACATCTTGAATTGATCGTCAAATTGTATTTATAAGATAGACCTAAGTTATCAAATGAAATTAAAAATGAGTGCCTTCCTGTGAGTGCACGTACAATTCGACGAAGACTTTAACAATATAATTTAAATGATAGATCTACTATGAAAATTTCACATTTAAATTTGAAGAATGTGAGATGCAAATTACAAGTTGCAAAAGATCATGTGAAATGAAGCGATAAAAAAAATTAAAAAGTGGAAAAGTGTTTTTTAATTGGACGAAATTAAAATAAATCTGATGGAATTTAATGGAAAACATATGTGAGAAAACGATCAAATCATGAATTGCTACCAAAAAAGTCTCCATTAAAAAAATTTTTTTTTACTCTATTTCACATAGTCTTTTGCAAATTGTAATTTGCATTCTTCAAATTTAAATAAAACTTTCCTAGCAGATCTACCATTTAAATTACATTCTTAAAATTTTCGTCGAATTATACAAGCTTATAGGAAGGTTTAGAAACACGTACAATTTCACTTAGACTTAGAACAACGAGTTCATTCACAATTTCATCATTTTTGAGTCTTAATGTATTTTCCACTATTTTTCTAGCAACCAATAATTTTTTTCATTTCTTATTGCGATTTCTTTTTATTGCATAAAATTAAAATTTTTATTTTCTCATTAGTTCTATAGTGAATATTTCGCTCTATTTTCATTGTAATTTTAAATAATTGACTAAATTTTATTATAATTTTACTATATCTAATCTATGAAATCACATTAATGTTTAACATAACAAACTTTTTTCATGTTAATAAACTTACATTAATAATTTAGATTTATTATTATGATCAGACTATAGTACAGATCATTTTAGGATTCTCGCAATATAATATTCCGGTAATAATACCTTATTCCGGTAATAATTTATTACGTTTTTTATTTGATATGAATTATTGCTGATGTACAATATGACATCACAGGCAAATAAAAACAGAATAAAATAACTGTTTTATTAATTTTTATATAAGCTGCTCTATTTTTATGATTACCACTATACATATTCGACTTTAAGTGAAAGCGAGAAAAAAGTTTTACTGCGATCTAATGTAGCGATCAAGAACAGGCTTTTACTCTTACATGCGTCATTCCTATTAGACGCATATATATTTTGTATACTATTTGGATTTAATCTCGATTTTTCTAA